ATACAATATTTACATATGAATTGAATATGAAATCAAAAATTATTAAATCTAATATTAATGTGTCCATCGCCTTCCCAAGCACATTACCAGGAAGCTGGATCAGAAGCAGAGCAGTCACAACTTGAACTGGCCCCATGGAATGCTGGCTTTGCAAGTGGTGCCTTAACCTGCTGCGGCACAAGGCTAGTTCCCTTTTCCTTATTTTCTCAAAAAATCTGAAGTAGGGACTGGCCAAGCTCTGGTCATTGTGGCCATTTGAGGAGTGAACAATGGAGGGAAGATCCCTCTATTTCTCCCTCTTGCTGTGTGTAACTCTTGCCTTTCAAATAAATCAATCTTTAAAAAACAAAGAATTTGAAATTCTTTATAAAGGAAGTGATAAAAGAATACCTGACAAAAATTAGGATACCCAAGTTAAATGCCTTTTTTTTAATCATTTTAATATAGGACTGAAATTCTCAAAAGCCTACTTTTCCTTGAGTTTCAAATTTGCTTAGAGAAACATAAATCTGGAAAAAAATACAAGGCTTTCTTAAACAAATTAAACTCAAGGGAAAACAAATATGGAATTAGTTCACAGTAGGTCTTAATTTTTTAGTTTTTCCACTAAAATAGCAATGGCTAATTTATTATGTAGCTCCACTAGTTATTAAAGAACTTTTTTTGTATCTTCTTCCTTCCAATTCTTTGAAACACTACGTGGGCCACACAATAAAGAATGCTGATGCCATTACTTTACTTTCTAATATCCAGATTTAAATTGTAAAATATAAAGATAATATTTTTATTACAAATATTACTCCTGTAATAATATAAATATTAGTTACTGTGACCACTATGAATTCAAACGATTACATTAAATGCTATGATCTCTAAGAGCTACAATATTACCATTTTGAATTATCAAGTGCATCACTTCCCTCAAAAAACACCAGGAAACAATGTATATATGAAAAGTTACTGACCTGGGAGGAGAAGAAAAGCATATTCTAATACAAGTGTGCCTCAAAAACTTGATAAAGATGGTCAGTGTGTGGCATAGCAGGTTAAGCCACCATCTGCAGTGGCAGCACCCTATATGGGTGCTAGTTTAAGTAATGGCTTCTCCACTTCCAATCCAACTTCCTGCTAATGTGCCTACAAAGGCAGTTGAAGATAGCCCAAGTGCTTGGGTGCCTGCACCCACATGGCAGATCCAGATGAAGCTCTTGACTCCTGGCTTCAGCCTGGCCTAGCCCTGGCTATTGTGGTCACTTGGGGAATGAACCAGTGGATGAAGATCTCTCTCTCTCTAATTCCAATTTTCAACATAAATAAATAAATCTTTAAAAAAATATGTATACAATATTTACATATGAAATGAATATATAAAAAATTATTAAATCTAATATTAAAATTTTTAAATGATAAACTTATTTTAGAGCAAAAAATTTTTGAAAGCTATGCACATGAAGGGTCCTATAAAAGCTCATGAAACATACATATTATGAAAAACTATGCATGGATTCAAAATTTTGTATACCATAATAAACATCTTTTAATTCAAGTTCCATGAACTTTTAAAAGTGCCCTCATATTAGAGAAGCCTTTTATTCCACAAGATAAATATTGGCAATGGTTAATGCTATAGAGTGATTTGTATCCTTCACTAAAATTCCTACTTTGAAGCCCCAACCACTACCATGTCTATATTTGGAGATAGGACCTTTAAAGAGGTAATTATGATGAAATAAGGTAATATGGGTGAGGTCCTAATCCAACGGGACTGATGTCCTCAAAAAAATAAAGACACCAGGAGGGCAGCTACACAGAGGAAAAGCCATGTGAGATCACAGCCAGAAGGTGGACGATATGCAACTCAGGCAGAAAGGCCCCACAGAAACCCACCCTGCCAGCACCTGCATCCTGAACTTCCAGGTTCCAGAACGGTGAGACAATAATTTCCAATAATTTAGCCACCCAATCTGTGGTATTCTTGGAAGCCCAAATAGACCAATACACTTAGCTAACTGAAAAAGTTAATAAAGCAGGAAAAAATTAAAATACCTTGTAGGGGCAAGTGCTTAGCCTAGCAGTTAAGACATTGGCTGAGATGCCTATGTCCCACACTTGAGTGCTTGGGTTTGATGCCCAGCTCTGGCTCCTGACTCCAGCCTTTTTGCTGACTTTGAGTAGTAAACCAGCAGATGGAAGTTCTATCTCCCAATTTATCTGTCTCTCTTTCAAATAAACAATTAAAAAAAGTTTTATAAGCACATTAAAATTCTTTTTAAACTTTTTAAAAGTGTTAGTTGAAAGGCAGAGAAACAGAGGCAGACAGAGCTATTCTACCACTGTTTAATCCCCAAATGCCCACAACAGCCAGGGCAGGGTCAGGCCAGAGCCAGGAGCTCAAAACACAAGTAGAGTCTCCCATGTGGATGGTAATAATCCAAGTACTTGAGTTATCATCTGCTTTCCAGGGTGTGCAATAGCAGAAAGCTAGAATTAGAAGTGAAGTCAGGACTTAAACCCAAGCATTCTAGTATGGAGTACAGGTGTCACAAGCAGTATAGTAACCATATATTAACCACTACATCCAACATCCATACCTTATTTAACTTAAATTGCATATTCAAGGCAGGCATTTAGCCTAGCGGTTAAGATTACTTTATCCCATTTCAGAGCGCCTAGGTTTCATGGCTGGCTGTGGCAGACTCTGGGAGGCAGCAATGATGATTCAAATGATTGGGTTCCTGCTGCCCATCAGAGGGACCCAGATTAAGCTTCTGGCTCCTGGTTTTGTTAAAGGCATCCAGCTGGGGTGTGAATGAGCATACGTGAATGCTCTCTAATTTTTTTAAATAATATATTAACTTATTAATCTTTTGATATAAAATCAAGACTTATGAAGATTTCTAATTTTAGCTTCTATGAAATGATGTCAGAATTTACAAGATTCATCAAGTAATCTGAGTACAGAAATCCAGATTGTGGTATCTTTTCCTCTAACCCACATCAAACTGAGAGTCCTTTGTAACAACTCACTTTATCCTGTGTTTCTAAAATATTAAATTTAGTTTTTATATGGATCATAACTTTATTAATAATCTTGTATCCACTGGCCTAATCAGCATTTAATCAGGTTACACAATTGCTATAACAAATACACCACCATAATTGGCTCTAGGAACACCCTAACTGACTCTTAGAAAATGGACAATTCAGTTGGTAGGGGCAGATGTATACAGACCTAGCAAAGACCACACGAGCTGAAAGTAGGAAACACATTACAGGCATTAGGCAGTACGCTTCAGAGCAGGAATGGGCTGGTGTCGATTAAGCAACTAAGTTTGGAATGGATGTTAGATAAGAGGGGTTCTACTATATACATGAATAAATATTGATTATCCCAAATCACTACTTTAGAAGTTGTCACTGTATCCAACAATTTGGGAACCACTCTTGGAACTTCTGAATCTGCAGTGTTTACAGGTAAGCCATCATCCTTGGAATGGGATTTGATTTCCAAAAGAAAAAAACAAAAAAAAAACCTTTAACCAAGTAAGTAAACTGTGCAGGACAAAATGAGAATAGCAATGTCTAGTTAAATCATTTGAAAAAAAAAGACCTTATGATAAAACAAAATCACTGCTTAATATGAGTGTTTATTTAAATGTAAATCTAGTTGAACAACTAAGACAAAAATAGGATGAGTACAAAGACATTCCACAGTATCTGTCATTTAAACATAAACTTCTAGTATCTTTGCTTTAAAAATGACTACCACACACTCTCATTTTAGCAACACTACATATACCAATAAATCTGTGTGTATATACAATATGTACCATATACAGTAGATACCAGTCAACTACTTATACACATTTAGCTTAGTTTTTTGAAGTACTCTGACCTTACAGTCTGATTACTGAGGATATTTTATGGCACACTGAAAATTCTGAACATTATTCATGCTATAAGGGTCACTAAAAGATTTGACATAATAAAATGACATAAGAAATGCAGTATTTTAGGAAGAATCATTTAACAGATAAGAATTAGAAGTGTGAAGGAGAGATCATTTAGGAAACCATTGGTATAATATATTGATAATATAGTATTAAATTAAAGGCAAATGGCAATAACAAAGATAAAAAGAGTGATATAAAATTAAATATGTATAAAAATGATGCTAATATTAATCTTCATTACTATGAAAGAATCCCTAAGTTGAGGATTGGATGAAAACAAACCAAATGTGAGTAGAGAGGTGAATGAGTGTGGTAAAATCTTCAGATACTACCACCCTCCTATCTAAAGCAAAGATGGGGCCCATCCATGTTTCCAGTACATTTGGGAGAGCTTTGGTTGTAAATTCATAGATGTAGAGGCCAAGAGTATGTTGTAGATTTAAGTAAGCTCCAACACAAAGCATTTTTCATAACAGTTTTGATCTGTTCCAGAAATAACAAGATGCTTTGCTCTTTCTTCTCTAACATAAATGTTACCAGAGAAGAGAGAGACAGAAAGATACTATGTGTTGAGCCCTAGCAGATAGGGCTTTCCTTCCTTCCTTATACAAAGTAACATTGTCTCTTCATTACAGCCTGCAATCAAGTAGGTTCTGCTTTTGGAAAAAAACAAAAAACAAAAAACAAACAAACAAAAAAAAAAACAAAAAACGGGTAACTAATAGATTGCTGATTTGCCAACAGTTGTTTAACCAAGAGTGCTCTGTTTTATAACTGAGTTAGCAACAAGAATGTCAAGTAAAGCCTGAGAAGTTCAGGCTAACTTCTATTTCCATTCAACTTCTACATCCTACTCCACCCTCTAGCTCTAACCTCAACCAAATGTCACCAATCACCAATCTCCAACTTCTGCCTGTTTCTGAATTCATCTGTAGATTTTAAAAGTCAAAAACTAACACTCCCAAACTCCTGCCATAGGAAGATTATTTAGAAATCTCTACTTTGCATTATTCCAGAATTTCTGCTGAAAATACTAGAGCAATTTACCTCCAGTTCCTTCACCTTTTCCATTGTGATCAAGCGCCTTGACGTGTGACTGGAAAGCTTCTGTTCACAGTTGCTGATGAGTGTCAGGCACGGGTGCCAGGGCACCATCTCTTCTGTGTACCTGAAGAAGGAAGTACTGACTGTCAGCAACACTCACATGTGTAGCCCACACAGTCATCATGGGGGTATCCACGGTGCTTTGGGTCATCCTCCCTCCACACACCGTACTGTTTCATTCTACATGTGCTAACAGTCCATAAAACCCACATTATTCTGTACTTTAAAAATGCAAAGTATTCTAATATGACCACAGCAAAGGAATGCAGTTTAATTTTTAACCTGTAGAATAAGAGAGACAGAAAGCAAATTTGTCTTACTGACGAGTGCTCAACATTTAAACCACAGAAATGTAAGGTGACAACTGCACTCTAAACGATCCCCTAAGAGCAGATAAGGCACCCAGAAATACGTGCTCCAACAACCCCTTGACGTGACTATCTGGAGATTTTTTTTATAAGTTCCCAAAGTATAAAGTCCTGAAGTCCTCTATAAAATGAAATGATCCTGCAAAATGTTGATGACATCTTGAGACATCTATTAAGCTTGTAAATACAGTACTGAGGTTGTTTATAAAATTATTCAAGTAAAATACAACTGAAATAAACATCAGTCCTCTGGTGACATTAACCAGGAAGTGAAACTGAAGCTGTAACAATGAGTGGTGGAGACTGCAGCTGTACAGTACCTGCCCTGCCTGAACAGAGATGATGATTCTTACTGACTTTTCCAGGTCCCTCTGATCTTCACCAAGCTCTCGCTCATTACCTCAAGCACATGTTCAAAACCATCACCACCCACTTAGCAAGCAGCGTTCATAATGCACTTCACTTTATTATCAGTGGAAAAAATTCTCTTGAAGGTGTTCTCTGCCTTCTTCCTTAGAGCTTTCCAGCAAGTCATGACCACTGCAGACTGGACTTCATCTAATAATTTTTCATGTTCATCAGATAGTCAGAAGTGTACTTTTTTTTAAACAGCAGTTGATTTCAAGTTTGGAATCTTTCTACAAAGCACATATGATATTAAGGAATATATACTACCCCATCCTTGAGACTAAAATAAAAAGGGGAAATAGAGACCATGAAGTTTTGATATTTAGCTTCCAATAGCAGGGCCTGTGAATAACTGAAATAACGTCTGTCAACTTTAGTAACGTATCCTCTTTTAAAGGGAAAAATCTTTTTATTTCCTGGTGGGATTGCTGTAGGCATTTTTATCAAAATGTCACTTAAATATGCACAAACATAAATTAGATATAAATCTCTAATGCTTGTAACTCTTATATAACTATAAAACCAAGAACAAATTTATAAATCAAATCTAAAACTACAAAACCAATATAATTTTATTGAACATTTATGACATGAATGATGTTAAACTGTTGAAACTATGTTACCAGCATTTATTTGGTTTAACAATAGAATTTATGAGCTTTATATTATCATTTTATTCCAAGCACAAAGGAACATCATTTGGATAATAGTATCTGAGCTGCATTAGAATGTGATTCTTATTTTTAAACCTGAATCATACAACAGAATTTAGCTAAATAAAATAGTTCAACAGTAGAACTGAAAGCCTATATTAACTACACTAAAAACACAGAAGACTTAAAATTATTAGTGCTGCCAGTAGGTGCTGTGGTGTAGTAGGCTAGGCCTCAACCTGTGGTGCCAGCTTCCCAGATGCACACCGGTTCATGTCCTGACTTCTCCTCTTCCGATCCAACTCTCGGCTTATAGCCTGGGAAAGCAACAGAAGATGGCCCAAGTGTTTGGGCCCCGACATCCACTTGAGAGACTAGGAAGAAGCTCCTGGGTCCTGGCTTTGGATTGGCCCAGCTCTGGCCTTTTTGGCCATTTGAGGAAGGAACTAGCATCTGGAAGACCTCTCTCTCTAATTCTGCCTCTATATTAATAAATATATTAATTTAAAAAATTATCAGAGCTAAAAAACAATTTTAAATTGAATTCCTTTTTATTCTTGATTCAATAAAAAGCTACATTTTCAATAATACATAACCAAACTAATTCTAAACTGCTGAACTCAGAAAGCAAGCAAGGTTGCAGATAATGTCAGTCTTAAATTTATTGATATTGTTGTTTTTGAAAAAGGAAAGATTTCAGATGATATATACTGCAAAAGTAAATATTGTTCATTTTTCTAACGTAAACTCCTAACTACATTCATCAATAAGTTAACAAAAATAATAATTCATCAATAAGACAACTTTTAGTCTTAGGGAGAAGGCAGAAGTCTGGTAATAAGCATCAGAAGTCCTGGAAGTAACTATCCAGGGGACAGATGTGAGGAAGTAAATGCCATAGGAGTCTTCCCCTGTATCTGGTAGAAATCTATCTTTTGGGGACCAGCGTTATGGTATAGCGGGTAAAGTCGCCACCTGCAGTGCCTACATCCCAAATGGGCGCAGGTTCGAGTCCTGGCTGCTCCATTTCCAATCCAGCTCTCTGCGATGGGCTGGGAAAGCAGTAGAAGATGGGCCCCTGTATCCACATGGGAGACCTGGAAGAAGCTCCTGGCTCCTGGCTTCGGATGGGCCCACCTCTGGCCATAGCAGCCATTTGGGGAGTGAACCAGCAGATGGAAGACCTTTCTCTCTCTCTTTCTCTCTCTCTCTCTTTCTCTGCCTCTGACTTTCAAATAAATAGATCGTTAAAAAAAAAAAAAAAAAGACTATCTTTTGGTAAAACATCTAAGGCAAAGAAAGAATAAAACATGTTTCCCTTTTTGACTTTTAAAACACCCCTTTCATTAAATGTACTTAGAAATTTCCAGATTTTTTTCTGAAAGAGTTACAGAGAGAAGTAGAGATGCTCAGAGCCTCCTCAATCAACATCATGAAAAGACAGACAAGTTCCCACCGAACCAAAATGCTTTTTCTGTATAATTATGTTTTATAAATATAAGAATTAAAATAATTTTTAAAAATATTTCCATAGCAGATGGAATAAATAACCAAATTTTAAGTGTGAAAACTCTCATTCAAATCTGAAGATCTCATCTTGTTCAACATTGTCTTTCACTATTGATGTATATAGCTTTGTTCATACTTAATAGTTACTGAATAACAAAATTTAAACCAATTATATTGAACATAATCAGAGCTTTAAAAATATGCATGTTTTTTGTCTTGGTCTTAGTTTTTAAAAAATGATATTATATTTAAGTTTACCATAATAGCCAATATATCAGGGGCTGGACTAAATATCTAAGTATGTAAATATAGGACTTGGCAATTCTTTCCTGCAAATGGGCCATGGAATTTTTTACATTTTGTGGGTTACATATGTTTCTATCACAAGTTGTTTCAGCAACTTTTTAAAATTTTTAAAATTGAGGACAGCATTGTTATACAGCAGGTTAAGTTACCACCTGCTCCACTGGCATCCTACACAGGAGTACCCCTTCTAGTACAAACTGCTCTGCTTCCAATCCAGCTCTCTGCTGATGTGCCTGGGACAGCAGCAGAAGATGGCCCAAGTATGGGCCTCTGCCATCCATGTGGGAGACCTGGATTGAGTTCCAGGTGCTTGGCTTGTGCTTGGCCCAGCCACAGATGTTGTGGCATTTGAGGAAAGAACCAGTGAATAGAAAATCTCTCTCTGTCTCTCCCTCTTTCTCTGTCACTCTGCCTTTGAATTAATAAGTGAATCTTTAAAAAAAAAAAATACCAGACATAGCTCAAGCACCTCAGAAGAAACAGTCTGAGGACCATATTTGGTCCAAACACTCTCATTTGCTGAAGCCTGATATAAAATATAAAGGTCAAAGCAATTCAATCAATAAAAGCAAGGGTACTATTTCATACACATCTGTTGGTAGACAAAGGCAATTAATACACATTAAATAAAAGAGATCCTCAATACAATTAGAGATAAGGAAAAATTATGGTAGCTACGCAAATACCATAGGTAAAATGAAGTTAAAAATAAGATTACATACTCTGGTGTATACACTGGTAACCAATAGACTAGTCTTCCACCTAATACCAGGCTCTCAGCTGCAAAGTTTAACAGGTCGAAAAACATATCACTCAGATGATAACTCAAGGAAACAGGAACGTGGCTTTCTGGACTATACAAAGAAGACAAAATTGCAAAATCAGTAAAAAATTTTAAAACTGCTTAATTAAAACCATGCTTCTTTTAAAAGTACTAAACCATTATATTTAAATTTCACTTACCATTTTTCTATTCCCTTTGGTATTTCCTTTTGTGAACCTGTTCTTCTGGTAGATTCTCTGATACCATATGGAGCTAGACAGAAACAGAAGCAATGCAGACAGTCAAAAGTCACCAAATCACCAATGAGGGACAGGCAGATACAATGCAATTCCAAATGAGACACTGTGAGGACACTACATCTTCTGCGCATTATTTCATTCAAGGAGCTATATAACAAAAAAATTTGTGTTCTTCAAAAATGTGTCAGAAAAGACAGAGGAAGGCTATGCAGGTGTTACAAATTAAAGGAGGCTGAAAAGATATCATTACTAAATGAAGTACCTGACCCTATTTAGGTCCTGTACTAGAGGGAAAAAGCATACTATAATGGACATTATTGGTCAATTGACAAAACTAGAGGGCACAGTGGAGATTGAAGTGTTATATTGATTTCCTGAAATTGGTAAATGTACTTTGGCTCTCTAAGAGACTATCCCTATTCTTAGGACATACACACTGAAGGACAAGGATAGAAGGCCACAATGTATGCAACCTACTCGCAAGTTATTCAAGGGAAAAAAATGTATTTTATACATACACACACACACACAAACGTGAGAACAAAATGTTAATAAAAATTCATCCAATTGTCTTAAAGTATATTCAATGCTACCATAATACCTTGAAAATAAATTTTCCTTTTGTTAGTGTGGAAAGCAGCTAAGTTACCAAAGAACTCAGGAGGGCTCAGACAGAGGGCTTAACTTTGACATTATTTATAGATTTACTGCCAAATACTACAGAAAGGCAGATCTATTCTTAGCTAGGCTGCCTAACAAGCCCAAAGTCTCATCAGGCATGGAAAATAAGTGCTCATGAACATTCTGGAAGCTCACTGAGTTTACCAGTCCAGTGGTTCACAGCACTCCTAAGTTCTTGTACCTCTGCGAAAGAGATGCCAGGGAAAACAGGCCCTACAAAAACAAAATCTTACACATGGAGGAATGTATGACATCTGAAATTCTTTTTCAAAATTGGGATGTGAGTGTCCAAAGTGCTGGCTTAACTCACTGTGCCACAACATCTGCTCCATTATTCAAAGACTTGATCAATGTGAATGACATTATAGTTTCAGTTGGTATACTGGTAAGCATTTACAGTTAATAAAAATAAATATAAGCCTCAAAAAATAAGCTATAAGAGAAAATGGATGGCAAGTTAATATATAAGGATGTAAAAATGGATGGCAACATCATATTTGTTTAAAAAAAATGAAAGAGTAACCCTTAACTACTTAAATTGGTACAGTGGCCTACATTAACAATTCTCTCCTTCTTGCTCTATGAAGCTGTTGCGAGTGGGAGGAATACCAACACAAGCTGGCATTTTGTCTATATATTGATAGATTTTGTACTTCAAATGTAAATAACTTTGGGAAACTTATCCTACCCAAACTTCTATAAAAACAACTTACGATCAGTGATGATTGCATCAAAATATGTGCCCTTTCTCCAGGAAGGTTTAGATGCATCTGAAACCAGGACATCGAGGTAAAATTTCTCTAAACCATACTGACGAAGATTTGCTCTAATGTTTTCATCTGGTCCTCTCCATTTCTGGTTTTTCCTACTAGCCTTTCCTGAAGGAAAAGGTGAGGGAAGATAGAAAGTATTAGATAATTCGAGAGCATTCTTATCTTCTGCTGTTTAACTTGATGTAATTTTTTAGCTCATCTAAATCCACAGTTACCCAAAAACAATATTTGTGTCCCCTTAAAATATTAAATTTATGTAAAGTATTTTTATTTCAACTTATTATAAAATAGATTATAAAAACAGTAAAATGTACTGAAATCTAGTTGATCTTGTTTTATCACCTTTCAAGTAAAACTGCTTTCAAACACATTCAGTACTTTCTAAGTACAAAGCATTTAACTGGTGCACAGTTGAACAGAACATGGTCTCTTCCTCTAGCAATAAACAGTCCCAAGCAGCAACAGTGAAGAATCACAAATGCAGTGGAACGAAGGGTGCCAACTTGAGGAATGCAGTCACTGTGATGATGGAGAATGAAGGGGAAATGGACATATTACTGATGAAAAGTTCAAGCAGAAGTTAAGAGAGGGTTGAAGAAGAAAGTTCAAAACCTTCTAGTTTAAGAGACATGAGTGGGGGCCAGCACTGTGGCATGGTAGGTAAAGCCGCCACCTGCAGCGCTGGCATCCCATACTGGCACCAGTTCGAGTCCCCTGTGGTCCAATTCCGATCCATCTCTCTGCTATGATCTGGGAAAGCAGTAGAAGATGGCCCAAATCCTTGGGCTCCTGCACCCGCATGAGAGACACAGAAGAAGCTCCTGGCTTCGGATTGGTGCAACTCTGGCCTTTGCGGCCATCTGGGGAGTAAACCAGTGGAAGGAAGACCTCTCTTTTTCTCTCTTTCTGCCTCTGCATAACTCTGCCTTTCAAACAAATAAATAAATCTTAAAAAAACGAGAGAGAGACATGAGTGGATGAGAACATCAGAGAAACTAGGAGGAACAATAAACTTAGAAAAAAAGATGAGAGTCACTTAAGATACATCAATCTTCATAAACCTGATGGTAACTGTCAAGTATTCAGGAAGAGTTACTCAATGGTTAGATATTCAGTAGATAGTTGAAGACCAGAAAAAGTATACTTGGAAGAAATCAGAATATAAATTTAAGATGAATCCACATGAATCAAAGATACTTTTGTTAAGCTAGATAGTAGTTAATGGTGTGCTCTATAGTTACCCTTACATATTTATACACCTTTTTGTACTACAATCTACTTCACAATAAAAACAAACCTTAAAGAATCCATCAAAGAAGGAAATGATTTTTTTTCTTTTTTTAGATTTTTATTTTATTTATTTGAAAGGCAAAGTTACACAGAGGCAGACAGAAAGTCTTCCAGCCATTGGTTCTCTCCCAAAACAGCCGCAAGCGCCGGAGTTGGGCTGATCCAATCCAAAGCCCGGAGCCAGGAGCTTCTTCTGGGTCTTCCACGTGGACATGGGCCCAAGCACTTGGGCCATCTTCCACTGCTTTCCCAGGCCATAGCAGAGAGCGGGATCAGAAATAGAGCAGCCGGGACTTGAACTGGTACCCATATGGAATGCCAGCACTGCAGGCAGCGGCTTTACCTACTGTGCCACAGCACCAGCCTCAACATGATTCTTATTAACATGTAGCATGGTAGAAAGCACAAAGATACAGGCATGAGGAAAAGCAATGGGTGATCAGATGAAAGAAATCACAGGGCCTTAGGAGACTGAGGTGGAAACTCAAGGAAGGCAAACCTTCACAGGATGAGAGTCAATAAAAGTCGTGAATTTGTAGCCTCAGCAAAACACAGTCTCAGCCTCTTCTTCTCTCCTTCCCACCCATCCCCTCCTCTCTTCTCTCCTCTTGTCAACAGAACAACGGCATGGAAGTTAGTATACAATGGGCAGAATGACACTGAGAAATAAGGAAGATGACAGCAAATAAATATTAGGTTCTCAAGAAGCATTCTGGCAAAAGAAAGAGGAAATCGGTAGTAGCAGACCTCTTTAAGACTGATAGAAAAGGCCTTGTATTTTTAAACAGGAGAGACCTGAGAATATTTTAGAGTACAATAGAGATCAGAAGTGCAAGAAACAGAGCACACACAGGAGCATTTGGATAAGCTCCCAAGAAACTCTACCTCAATCAGAATTCTATTCCAGTAGACTGAAGGTTATAACATAACTTTCTAAGTATAACTTTCATAAATAAAAATTCAAATAAAATTTATAGGACAATTTTCTTAAAGCAAATACATTGCTTCTACTAAAAGCAATCAGGGAGAATTATTAGCACTTTGTGTACTCTAACATATTGCTCCAACATTCTTGTCAGCCTGGTTATGTAAACTCGATAAAATATAACTCATTTTCCTCCTAATAACTACTACTAATCCCTTATAGCCAGAATAGGAAATAAGGTAGGGCATCAGTGCAATACCTCAAATTCCCTCACCAAAAGAAAACAGGATATTAAATTCTCACCTATGTGGTAACACACTGAGTGAAGAACAGGAAAAGAGTGCTCTAATGGCTGACTCAAGTTACAATAAAGGAAGAACATAAACACATTCTCAAAATCACCCATGAAACTTGAAATTTTTAACACTATTCAGCCATAAGGAAAAACTTCTTTCAGTTTTCATCCAATCATACATCAGCAAAGCTTCTAGAATTTAAAATATTACCCAAAATCACCTCACAGGCAAAACAGATGGTGTGTCAGTTTAAGGCAGAATCTTTCAAGTTATTGTCACCTTCAGTGTTTCAAAGATGTGTAAGCCAGTTACAAAATTTAAAATACATATGGGATCTCAAAGACTAGATATTAATACAGTTTCCACTCCATGTGCAAACGTTGAATAAATGGTGATAACCCTAAATATAAACTATGTTTTATTAACAGCACATACTGATTATAAAATGGCTAGTCTCTTTCTTCTATTTCTTCCTTCCCAATCCTGGAGTTCACAATTTTATAGTTTGTGGTTTTCTTTCTTCCTTTTTTTTTTTTTTAGGTAGGAAGTGGAATCTTTCTTACTAAGTCTACAAATGCCTCTGAGAGATCCTTTTCTCATTCATCTCTGTGATCCCCAAAGAGATGACATTGCACACAGATCACTTCATAAAAAACAGACACCCAATGAAGTTTTGTTGTGAAGTAAAATCATATCACAATCTTGTTAAAATAATGAAATTTAAAAACGATTTCAAAGGTATATTTGGTACAACAACAAAGACAATACAATGTCTAAGACCTCTACTCACCCAAGCCATGAACTGTGTTGTAGTCTATGTCTGTCCCACATACATATGCACCAAAATGAGCAGACGCTATCAGGAGGCCACCTGAAAAGTCATACAATTACCTGTTAACTAGAAAGTCCCAGACTCTTGTTTTGTCCACTATTTAATCTTATCCAGACACTCCCAAGCCAGCAGAGTACCCTGAAATAACACAAGTCTTTGCCATATTCAGCAAGCTTCAGAACTAATAAAAAGAACCCCTAAGATGTACTCATGCAACTAGTCTCAAAGCAGGAAATTTATGTATACCCTGCCATCTCTTTCAACAGCACTACCTAGGGAACACTGTATTTTTCTGGTCAAAAGCATATTTAGACATTTAATAGATCAACACAAATGTATCTTGCTCCTTTCTTGAAAATGAGAGTGTAGGGACAGACATTTGGCACAGTAGCTAAGCTACCACTTGGGATATCCGCAACACGTATGGGAAGGCTTGGTCCTTTGCTTCTGATCCAGCTTATTGCTAATGTGCACCCTGGGAGGCAGCAGATAACGGTTCAAATACTTGGGTCTCTGCCACTCATGTGGGAAACCTGGATTGAGTTCCAGGCTCCTGGGTTAGACCTGGCCTAGCCCTGCCCATTGTGAGCATCTGGCGAGTGAACCAGTAGATGTAAATTATCTATCTCTCAAATAAAACAAAAAAAAATTTTTTGACATTAAAAACATTAAATGAACATACTAAGCTGTTTATACAAAGAACTGGCAATAAATAAATTCTGACCATTGGGCTCTATTCTCATTGAAGACAGTTTCAAACAACTAAAAAGGCACAATTAATACATGAGACATTAATATTTATAAAAGTTAAAATGTCAGTTAATTTAAAAAGCTAAATTACATCCTAAATTATATTCTATTTTAACAGTTACTCATGTAACAAATCAAGAAAGTACCTCTTGCTTTAAACTATAAAGTTCTGACTAACCACTAACATACACTAAAGCAATATTATTTTTCTGTATAATTAGTGCTGTAATCAATGTAAGACCAAATTGCCCCAACACAATTTGACTAGAATAAGATATATGACAGATGGAACCAGCTCACATATGAAGAAAAATCCTAATAAAGATTTATGAAAATCATAGTAACTTTAAAATAGTATTTTTAAATTTTAAGAAAAAATTCACAGGGTTAAATGAATTTTTAATAATTGTACTTTTCATTAAATGTCACTTTTTTAAAAAATTCAAATTAAAATACTTGCCTGGGTACTTGTCTAAATAGTTACATGGTAAAATGATCTGTCAGTCAAGCTGAAATCAGAAAGCTACTCTTGGACTACAAAATATGCAGTTTGAAAGTAGGGCTTTCTCCATGATATCCTTCTGAAATGCAACGTGTAGAATTAAGATGGGTAAAAGCCAACAGAGGGTCAAGATTACAAATGAAAGGTGTTCCTCCCACAGCCACTTGAAACACAGGCTGGTAAGGTACTTAAAAACCATGTTTTTCATGAAAATGACTAATTTGTATAAAGAGCTTGTGAGGAAGAGAATTGGAGGCCTAACAGTAGAGCAAAAACCAAATCCTCAGTCCTCTCATACTAACTACAAAAGCGTTTATGTAAGAAGTGCAGTAAAAAGGACCTCATGATTCTCTGGAAACAGAACAGTCCACGTTTAAGAAAGGCAGTGCACGTGAGGACTTGGAATACTCAGAAAATCACTTCACCCAAATCACAAGGAATTGCTTCAATTCTGCCAGTTGAGGCAGATACTCACCTAGAAGAACTAGTTGTCAAGGAAACAGAAAAGCTTTCCTGTGCTTCCTTAAACAGAACCTTATCCATTTGCTTAGAGTGAGTTTTGAGAAGACCCAATTTACAGTACACTGCTGAAAGGAGATGAATAATCTGTTAGACTGCATCTGTTAGTTCACTCTGTGCCTTTTATACTTTTAATTGTTTAAAGTAAAATCATAATATATTAACTTCTCTGAACTGGTCACTGGGTAATCATTACTTGTCACTTAGCTGCATTTTGCATTAGATGGAAGCATTTTTTGCATTTAGCAATACTTCAGCTGGTGTTTTCTTGGAATCTATTTGGTGGATGAGGGATATTAAATAGAAGGGTGAAGTGCTGAAAAGGCAAATAATAGCACATTATGTGATCTCAAAACTCTGTGTTTCAATTTCTCATCACTTAAATGGAACCACTTTAAGGTTAGGGAGGGTACTATCTAACAGGCAAAAGAACAGAGCAATAAATAGAATTTATTCTATGGTATAAAAATTAATCATGATATTCATCTTCAGAAAGCTAAGTAGGAAAAATCTGCAAATATGAGAAAATGAGAGACTGGGCTTTGGTTTTGCTGAGAGAAAAGGAAGAAAATAGGAATATATGTTGCATGTATGTTATCCTGTTCTAAACAAAAAAAAAGAATTCTATTTCAATATTAAACTACAAATATGAGCAAACACACAAATCCTACTAAAACCATGAGACTCAAGAAAAAGGGGAATAGGAAGAGGTGTGGAAAAAATGGGAAGTGGAGACGACTACGCAGACGTGGAGGGATCCACCACCCACTCTCCTTTCTCTTTTCTCCCCATCATCTCCTCCCAGAACTAGGATAATCAGCTTTCCAACACCAGGCTCCTATGTCTATCTTTGTGCAATGACAAAATTTCGGAAGTATCAATGCTCCTTTCATCTATGGGGCACCTTCAGGTAGGTGAGGACAAGGTGAACACACTCATCTCCTCGGTGCCTTCTCATTACTGGACAAGCTGACTCATTTTAAAGCAGGATGAAAAAAGAATGAGAGCCATGGCTGCAGAATTCTGTGCTATCTATAGCAATCTGCATACAGTTGTGCCAATTTTAATTATAAACAGGAATGATGTTTGCAATTTTAAGCCTCAACTTCTTTGCCTGCTGCCATAATTTGACCACAGCTGCAAATTATGAATAACTTGGAAATTAGCCAAAGGAGAGATCAGAAAATGAGTTCACGTTCACATTCTTCATCACCATACAATATTAACTGTATTCATCATCTTTCACCAGAAAGACATCTAAGTTCTTGAAAAAGTAATAACTCAAAATTAACAATGACAATTACAGTTCACTGCACACCATGTTCTAGCAGCTCCCTAGGAATAGCTCATGCATATATTACCTCACTTAATCCTCACGATTTACCACCATGACCATTCTGAAAATGATGGAACTGAGATCCAGGCAAGCTAAGAATCTTGTCCCATGTCACAGAGTAACTGGTAAAGATTAAACCTCACTTTATGTGCTCTTTTCATTATATATACTACCCCTTTGAGGTCAGCAACAATAGAATTAAACATACATTAGCTTACCAAATAAACAAAAGAAAAACTTGTTACTAAATAAATTGTATTAGCAAAGCTATACTCTCAGGTAATAACAGCTGTACAACATTCACAAATTTTGCTTATCGTAGGCAGGATTACACCAGGATAGGTGTTTGATATATTCATGCAGACCATCTTTTGGCCATGCACATACCAGAATAATAGTATCTCCTAACTACTGAGAGCTTAGCCAATGGTATGTATCAACTTTTTAGAAAAATGGTAATATACAATTTTTTAAATGTCTAAATAAAATGAGAATTGACATATTTGTTAAAACAGAAAGTGACGGCCAGTGCCGAGGCTCACTAGGCTAATCCTCCGCCTGCGGTGCCAGTGCCCCGGGTTCTAGTCCCGGTCAGGGCACCAGATTCTGTCCCAGTTGCTCCTCTTCCAGTCAGTTCTCTGCTGTGGCCTGGGAAGGCAGTGGAGGATGGCCCAAGTGCTTGGGCCCTACACCCGCATGGGAGATCAGGAGGAAGCACCTGGCTCCTGGCTTCTGATCGGCGTAGCGCGCCAGCCATAGTGGCCATTTGTGGGGATGAACCAACGGAAGGAAGACCTTTCTCTCTGTCTCTCTCTCTCACTGTCTAACTCTGCCTGTCAAAAAAAATAAAAAATAAAAAAAAAGCAAAAAAAAAAAAAAAAGAAACCAGAAAGTGTTTCTACAGCTCCCAATGTCATAAACACCAGAAGCAAACTTTGAAAGAAAAAGGAAAAGTATCTGGGCAGAAGGAATTCTCTCCTTTCAGTTTCCCAGAGGCCTTTCTACCCTACTCTACGTCCTTGAGAAAAATCACAGAAACATGTAGTCAGTGGGTGTTACACTTGGAAAA